TTTAGTAATTAGTTTACATGTGCCGAGAGATGAAAAAGGTTGAAAATCACTGGGCTAGATGATCTTAAGGTCTCCGGCACTGGGGTTTTACAGGGTTCCCATCACCCTCAAGCCCTGGGGACTAAGAACCTCTTTGGATTGAGGTGTGAGAGGCCTTCTTGGATTTCAGTTCCAATCCCGTGTGTGTGTGAAGGGGTGGCCCAGGGTGGGACGGACAGCCTATGGAAGCACCTGTGTCCTGAGTATCACCTTGTTCTGCACCTTTGCCTCAGCCTCCCAGGTGTGGTCCTGAGGGGTTTTGCACAGCCCAGAGCTGAGCCAGGGAGGTCTGGCCTTATCATTAACTTCCCCGCTGGTGGTCACGGACTGGCCTCTCTGTGCTCCACACAGGACAGGAGGCAGAGGCACAGCAGGCTGGGTGGGGGTGCAGCAGGTCAGCCACAGAGAGAAGGGGGCTGTGAAAGAAGGTGGCCTATTCTGGTCCAGGCACCGCCTCCTTCCCGCCCCCAGGCATCTCCCTGGGACCAGCTCCATCCAGGCTTCAGGTGGGTGGTGCTGAAGCCCTGTGCATCCCACGGTGAACTCACAGGCTCTGTGTGCACGAAACCACCAGCCACCAGCTTCCTGGAGAGCCTGCCTCTTCCCGGCAGGAATCCCCATTGACTCCTCAGGTCAGCTGTTCACAGTGCTCTGGTCCCCAGGAGATAGTGGCGACTGTACTTTTCCTTATCACACAAGTTTGTGCATGGTGATAATAAAGACAGATAAGTACAAAGAAGATAAAACCAGCCATAACCTGTTCTCCAAGGATGCAATAAATTGGAGTACTTCCTTCTAGCTTCCCCCCATGCATTTCTATACAGATAAAATGTATAATTATAATCAGAAGTAAGAATTACTTTATCTACTCATTTTCCATTTTCACTCATAACAGATAAGGACTTTCATTTAAACAATCATATTTCCCATTAATAAAATTAATAATTCCTTCATATCATCTCACACCACATCAAACCAAATTCAATTTCCCCTAATTATCTAGAAAAAAATGTGACTTTTTTTGTTTGTTTTTTTAATCCTCACCAGAGGATATTTCCCCATTGCTTTTCAGAGTGGAAGGGAGAGAGGAACAGAGAGAGAAAGAGAAACATTGATGTGAGAGACACATTGACTGATTGCCTCCTGCATGATTCCCGACCAGGGGAGACCAGGGGATGGGGAGTGAACCCGAAACCCAGGCATGTGCCCTTGACTGGAAATGGAACCTTGGACCCTTCGGTGCTTGGGCTGCTACTCTAACCACTGGCCAGGGCTATACAACATCATTTATAATGACTATATCCCATTGTGTGGATGTACTATCATTTATAATGCAAATCACAATTTTTTGGTTATTTGGATAGTGTATAGGCCTTGGTCTTATGATAAAGTTGTGATGACTATCCTTGTGCATGTATTTTTATACTCCTGATGTATCGCCTGAAGATATGTTATATTTATAATGAAAATAGTTAGGTTTGAAGGGTATATACATCTTAAAAGCGACCTGGTTAGATAAAAAAACAAAATATTAATATTGAGACTAAGAAAATCTGGGATTGGGGGTGCCCCACGACATGTACAATGTGGGAAGACTATAAAGTCTGGGCACCTTTCAGGGGTGCCATGAAGCCACAGGCTCTCTGGCTTCAGGCCAACCTTAGGAGAGCTGGAGGCTTGGGCTTCACCATCTTGGACAGATCACCCCTTCTTCAGGCCTTAGTTCCTTATTAGTGAACTCAGTGGTCCCTTTCAGCTCCAGGACTGGCATGGGGTAGCATGGGGTTCACAGGAACTGTGGCTGGGGTACTGTGGAGCTATGAACCCCATCAATGAGCTTGTACTGGAAGACTCTGTCCACTCTGCCAAGCCTCAACGCCAGGGGACTCTGTGTATCATTCACCAAACTTTAATAAGTAACTAAGAGGAAGTGAAGGGGGTATATATAGAATGTTCCTTTATCAGCTCTGGCCTCTCAAGTAGATGCAAATCCATGTGGCATAGAATAAACTGGAGTAGTTATGTAGATACAAATTTGAGATTCTCTGGACCTCAAGAGATTAGCAACTTGTAGGACTCTTTAGGAACTTGGTCTTCTGAGTGAGTGATTCAAATATAATTGTCAGATTACTTTTTTAATCTCTTGTCACATATATATTAACTAGAGGCCTGGTGCATGAAATTTGTGCATGGAGGGTGGGTTCCCCTCAGCCCAGCCTGCGCCCTCTCCAATCTGGGACCCCTCGGGGGATGTTCGACTGCCGGTTTAGGCCCAATCCTGGACCGCTGGCTCCTAATCGCTCACCTGCCTGCCTGCCTAATAGCCCCTAACTGCCCCCTGCCAGCCTGGTTGCTCTTAACTGCCCCCTCCCTGCTGGCCTGGTCGCTCCTAACTGCCCCCCCCCCCCGGCCTTGTCACCCCTTACTGCCCCCTTGCCGACCTAGTTGCCCCTCACTGTCCCCCCTGCCAGCCTAATTGCCACCAACTGCCCCCCCCCCACCAGCCTGGTCTCCCCCAACTGCACCCACCCCCCCACACCCCCGCCGGCCTGGTTGCCTCTAACTGCCACCCCCCTGCTGGCCTGGTTGCCCCCAACTTCTCCCCCCTGCTGGTCTGGTCACCCCTCACGGCCTCTCCGCTGGCCTGGTCACCCCATGCAGCCTGCTGTTCAGTCATTTGGTCGTCCCTCACTAACCCCCCTGCTGGCCTGGTTGTAGGCAGCCATCTTGTGAGGGTGTGAGGGTTAATTTGCATATTACCGCTTTATTATATAGGATGCTGTGCTTACATGGTCTAACAACATAGTTTCGAGTGTGTTTGCATGTTTGTGCTGTGTGCTTTCAGGAATGCTAACGTCAGTCATCTCCTTTGTCACCCGTTCTGTGGGATGGAATGAGACTGCCAGTATGGACAGTATCAAGGACTGATGATTCCAAAGAACTATCCAGAAAGCTGTTATCAGTAAGCAGAATGAAGGACAACAGATTACCTGAGGGAGAGGAATGAGGAAAAGTCTAAGAAGAAAAGGAAGTAGTAGTATATTTGGGGCCCAGTGAAGAAAGTGACTCATCTGGGGCCTTTGGAGACTGGAGACAGGTTCAAGGAAGCAGCTGGGATTTCAGCACAGGAACAGACAGGCTTCACCAGAGCTCCTATGAGTCTACCCCAGACTTGGCTTCCCTGGTGCCACATACAAAAGTCCCACATCTTTCCCTGGCCGGTGTGGCTCAGTTGGTTGAGCATCGTTCCATGCACCAAAAAGTCACCAGTTTGATTCCTGGTCAGGGCACATGCCTGGGGTGCGAGTAGCAACCAATAGATGTTTCTCTCTCTCTCTCTAAAATCAATAAAAACATATCTATTTTTTAAAAATCCCACATCTTGCTGTACACCTGAAGCTAGAACAATGAGTAACACCTATTACCCTGCTCAGTGGTCCCCTAAAGTCATCCTGCCTTTTCCCAGAACAGGGCTCCAGAGGGATTTAAGCTTCCAAAGGGAAGACAGACCTTGCTGGGATGGTTGACTGCAGAGTTTCTGCCATCCTGTACGTGTCTTGTCATGGGTCAGACTAGAGGGAAGGCTCTACTGCATTTGGAAACGGTGGTAAAAGAAGAGGCCAGTGGGATTGAAAAGGCAAATGTGGGGGCTTGCAACCTAGCTCAGTACCTGGCTAAAACTGGAGTCTTACTTCCCCACTCTGACTGCCTTGGGCAGAGCTGCAGAGCCTAACCCTAGGGCCCCGCCACAGCTGACTTGGGTGGAGCTGCTGAGCATGGCCCCAAACCCCTGCCAAGACTGACTTGGGCGGAGCTGCAGGAACCCTCAGGGGCCGCCACAGGAGGAGATATGTAGGTCAGAGCCTCCCCCCAAATTCAGTTCAGGCTTTGGATCCAGAATTCCCCTGGACTAGCAGATCTGCGAAATAAAGGTTAAACTTTCCTCCCTCAGAGTGCTGGCTGGTGGTTCTCCCGTGCATTCTGCCACAACAGGATGTTTGGATGTCCTGGGCACCCTCTAGTAAGAAGGCTGTAGATAGACATTAGGCTACTCTATTTTCTATGATCTTGACAACTCAAGTTCTTTAAGCCTCAGGTTCCTCATCCTTGAAGTGGGGAAAATAATATCCATCTCAGGGTTGTCATCGGCACAGAATGAAGCGATTTTGAGGTCTTTAGCACGGTGAAGGGCACCATGGCTGTGCTTAATGAGCTCCTGTGCCTCCTTATTAGTGAACTCAGAACTCAGTGGTCCCTCCCCACTCAGTGGTGCCTCTCCCTCAGCAAACCTTACCTCTTCCTCAGGTAAATGAACGGGATGGATGATCCCCAAGACTTTTCCCGCTCTGAGCCTGGAGTCTGCACAGGTGCTTGGAAGGATGTGAGAAGTTCCCGGGGTGGCAGAAAAGGCCTCCGCCTGGCCCTGACCCAGCATCCCCCACTCTTCCATAAACCTGCCAGGCAAGGAATATGGTCCTAGAAGTAGACCCGTCGGCCAGGCAGGAAAGAGGAGTGAGAACCCAGTAACTGCCCTCAGGCGCTGCCTCTTCCCTGCCTGTCCTGCTCTGCCCCTATGACCACCCAGAGAAGCCCCTGTGCCTAGGAGCACAGAGGACAGGGATTCCCAGAAGCCATGGCTGTGCCTCATACCTACATTATGGTGGCATCTCTCATGGGCTGGCACAGCCCCTGGCACACACAGAAGGAGCTCTGAAAATGTCAATAGCCTGATAAGTAGCCAGACCTCACTTTTTAACGCTGAGCCAATGCCAACCTGGACAGTCAGTCTGAGCTAACCCAGAGTGATGGGCATCCTCGGCGTGACTTACTGTGTAGAAGCGGGAACCGAGCCCCAGGGACCAGGAGGGACATATCCAGATATCACGGCAAGAGGAGGGCTCACCTAGGCCTAGAGCCTCGTGCCCCAGAGACCCATCAGAGATGTCTAGGGTCCAAGTAAGATGGACAAGGTATGGGACCAGCTGCCCCGTCCAAACCTCTTTGGCTTTAAGGGAGCTTGCGGGGGTGGGGTGGGGGGGGGGACCCTGGGGTGTGGTAAGAACAACAATAGACCAGAAGCAGAGTCTTGGGTTCTGGGCTCACTAATTTTAGGAGAGCCATTTAATTTGTATGTGTTATTGGGCATCTGTGATGGGGTCAGTACAACCTCCTCAATATCGTCATTTATGCAATAGAATACTAAGCTTTTGTGTAAAAGAATGAGAGAATAACCATAACTGCTAACCCCAAGTACTTACTATGGGCCAGACACTTCTGAGAATGCCAGATACCTTAATTCATTTTACCCTGACAATAACCTTATGGGATTAATATCATTCCCCCCATTTTAAAGCTGAGAAAACTGAGGTACAGAGGTTACTTGGTCCAGATTCCCTCTCCCCTCCCCATCATGCACATACATACATATGTTGGGAGAAAAATGTCTAGAAGGATAGACACCAAGCTGTTAATAGTAGTTAACTCTGGAGGAGAAGATTTTGGGATTTTGTGTTTCTGAGGAGAGGGGAAGAGGAGGGCTATTTTTTTTTTTAAATATATTTTACTGATTTTTCACAGAGAGGAAGGGAGAGAGATAGAGAGAGTTAGAAACATCGATGAGAGAGAAACATCGATCAGCTGCCTCTTGCACATCCCCCGCCGGGGATGTGCCCGCAACCCAGGTACATGCCCTTGACCGGAATCAAACCCGGGACCTCTCAGTCCACAGGCTGACGCTCTATCCACTGAGCCAAACCGGTTTCGGAGAGGAGGGCTATTTTTAAAATTACTTTTTCTTTTTTATTGAATTTATTGGGGTGACATTGGTTAATAAAATTATATAGGTTTCAGATGTACAACACTACAATGCATCATTTGTATATTGTATTGTGTGTTCACCACCCCAAGTCAAATCTCCTTCCATCACCATTTATCTTCCCTACACCCTCTTCTACCTCCCTCACCTTCATTCCCCTCAGGTAACCACCATGCTATTGTCTATAGGACTTTCATTTTTTACTGTATAAATTCCTCTATTGACCAAAAAAAAATTTTTAAACCATGATCCTGTATCACTTTTGGACATTAAGAAAATGACTAAAAATGTCACAACCCTACTGTGACTTTCAGACCCAAACAGCGAAGCGCATAAGCGGTGGCCGGGATCCCAAGGCAGGAGGCACGCTCTGTTATCAGAAAGACTTTGACTGCAGCTCATTCCCAGGAACAAGGAGAGGGAGGGACCAGCCACTTCCAGGCAATTATAATTCCACCCCCTGACCCTTAGAAGACCCTTGAGCAGCCTGGGCAGGGTGTCTGTTACATCATGGGCCCAAGGGTCACTTGTGAGGCCTGAAAAACTGTGGGGTGAAACCACTGGTCCTGAGAAGTCAGCTGTTTGCAGGCTTTGGGTCTTTTTAATTAATCATCTTCTTTATCTGATGACAAGCTGAGTAACTGCCTGTGTCAGGGGACAGTCTTTGGCACCTCTCTTTAAATCTTGTGTGCTTACGTGCCTGCATCTTTGTTCTTGGCCATGTTTGTGGTTTCTATGGCACTGGGTTTTATTCTTGAGTTGAGTCAATGACCCTCCCATTTTCAGAGGAATTGAGTTGTTATTCATTTATGGCTATGACTTTGTTATCTGCTTTCTTCATCTCTCAGGTTTGCCTTGGTTACTTCCTTTTTTTGCTCCATTGCTTTGTGATTTCTGTGGAGGACTTTGGGTTTCCTGAGTCCTTTTAAATTAGGCCAGAGAGAACATTACCTCATGTTTCTAGTTTTTTACTTCTTTTTAAAAAATATATTTTTATGGATTTCAGATAGGAAGGGAGATGGGAAGAGAGATAGAAACATCAATGATGAGAGAGAATCATTGATCAGCTGCCTCCTGCACAGCCCCTACTGGGGATGGAGCCTGCAACCAGGCATGTGCCCTTGACCCAAATAAAACCCTTCAGTCTGCAGGCGATGCTCTATCCACTGAGCCAAACCGGCTAGAGCTGTTTCTAGTTTTTTCAAACTGATTTTTTACCGTAAGAAGTTCTAACAATATTTTTTTTCCTAACAATATTTTTTATCATTCCTGGTAGTTTCTATGAACAATTAAGTTCTATTTTAACCTTGCTTTTGCAAAATGTGGATTTAAGTGTTTCCTGTTTTTTATAAGTGTTTAAAAAAACAAAAAAACCCCAAACCTGTCAAATACTGACTCCTTAGTAGTTCTCACAATACTGTATCTGATGCCTGGTTTAATTAGACCTCATACCATTAGATGTGACCTCTTTCAGATCACTTCTCTTCATGCCCTACTGTTTTTAATTATTGCTTCTACAGCTGACCACCTCTTTTGATGAATCTTTTTGAAGCTTCCATTTCTTTCTTTTTTAAAAATATATTTTATTGATTTTTTTACAGAGAGGAAGGGAGAGAGTTAGAAACATCGATCAGCTGTCTCCTGCACACCTCCTACTGGGGATGTGCCCGCAACCAAGGTACATGCCCTGACCGGAATTGAACCTGGGACCTTTCAGTCCACAGGCTGACGCTCTATCCACTGAGCCAAACCAGTTAGGGCTTCCATTTCTTTCTTTCTTTTTTTTTTTAAAAAAATATTTTTATTGATTTCAGAGAAGAAGAGAGAGGGAGAGAAAGATAGAAACATCAATGATGAGAATCATTGATCGGCTGCCTCCTGCATACCCCACACGGGGGATCAAGCCTGGAACCAAGGCATGTGCTCTGACCAGGAATCGAATGGTGACCTCCTGGTTCATAGTTGACACTCAACTACTGAGCCATGCTGGCATTCGTATCATGAAATTTTCTACCAAAGGGGAAAATCAGTTAAGATCCTTAGGTTAAGTTGCTAACTCCTTTTCCTTCAGGGTGTGAGTCCTTTCCTTCACTCTCTTCTCTTTTCCCAGGCTTTAGAAGTAACGTTCAAAAACATTTCATTCTAGCTTCTTTCAAAAATCTTTTCCCAGCCCTAGCTAGTTTGGCTCAGTGGATAGAGCATCAGCCTGCAGACTGAAGGGCCCTGGGCTCAATTCTGTTCAAGGGCACATGCCAAGATTGCGGGCTCAACCCCCAGTAGGGGGTGTGCCGGAGGCAGCCAATCAGTGAGTCTCTCTCATCATATATGTTTCTATCTCTCTCTCCCCTCTCCCTTCCTCTCTGAAATCAATAAAAAATATATTTAAAAACCAATGTTTTTCCAGAGTCCCCTAACTACTCATCAAGTTTTGCATTCACATTGGTATGGTCCTATTTGATCTCATCTCTCAATTTACAGAGTTGGCAAGTAGTTAGGCAGGGAAATGTCATGAAGAATCATATTACCCTGAGCTTTACAATATTATCTCATTTCACCATCACACTTGGCAGGAAATTGAGACTCAGGGCAGTGATGGAACCCGAATGCAGATAACTGACACATGGGAGTTGAGCACCAAAGACAATTATACCCTAACCACAGTGATACTGCATTTTCTTCATGATATTCTCCACCACCGTGTGGCCCTTGTGCCTTGTTATTTTCTTCGTTTAGTTACTAAGCTAATCAACTGGTTGTTTATTTTGGCTGTATGTAGGCTTTCTATGCTAGTCTTCTTGGCATGGCTGATTATTTATTCTCCTGTGTAATAGAGATTTAACTCAGCTGATAAACAAATGTCCTTACCATACCTCAATTCTAATTTTCCTAGAAGCCTCCCTTGTTAATGATTTGGAGTTTATTCTTGCAGATACACACACACACACTATATATAATGCACACATGGATTTCATTTTACAAAAGTGGATCACATCATAGATATATATATTCCCATGTCAGTACATGTGGAACATATTCATTCTTTTTAAAAATATATATGTATATTTTATTGATTTTTTTACAGAGAGGAAGGGAGAGGGATAGAGAGTTAAAAACATTGATGAGAGAGAAACATCTATCAGCTGCCTCCTGCACACTCCCCACTGGGGATGCACCCACAACCAAAGTACATGCCCTTGACCAGAATCGAACCTGGGACCCTTCAGTCCGCAGGCTGACGCTCTATCCACTGAGCCAAACCAGTTAGGGCACATATTCATTCTTTGTAATGCTAACATGATTCCACACATGTATGTACCGCATATCACCATATGTCTTTTATCATTCTTCTGTTAGTCGGCATTTAGGTTTCTTCTAATATGTTACTATTTTAAATACAATTAATTTCCCTGTATACATATCTTTCCACATAAATGCATAAAATATTTCTGTAGGATTCTTAGAAGTAGTGTTTCCATGCAGAAGGATATTGCCACAATTTTTAAGCATCACCCATATGCTCCCTTAGGGAGGCAAACATATTTTCCTCTTTTCTTTCAGGGTAAATACTGTCTAATCAATTGGATATCTGTAACTCTTCAGCATTTCTCCCATTGTTTCTTCCTTCTTTGGGTTCCTTTTAATCACCTTTTCCTTTTTGGTGACTTTTTTTTTTTAACTAACCTTCATCTATTCCAAGGAATCACTTATAGAAATAGATAAGATAGACATGGAGGTCATATTTAATTGAGGGTGCTGACTTGGAGGAAAGATGATAAACTTGAACCTTGATGGTTGTAATGTTACATAAAGTAAAATAGCACATACAGAAGGCAATCCATCAATGTTCCTCTCTCACATTGATATTTTTCTCTCTCCCTTCTCTCTAAAATCAATAAAATAAACAGAATAACATGTTAGAGGATGTTCCAGTTTTCTATTGCTGCACAAAAACCAACCCACATTTAGTGAGTTAAAACAGAAACATTGATCCCTAGCAGGTTTGGCTCAGTGGATAGAGCATCAGTATGGGGACTGAAGGGTCGCAGGTTTACTTCTGGTCAAGGGCACGTACCTCAGTTGCGGGCTCAATTCCTGGCCTGGGTCAGGGCAAGCAACCAATTGATGTCTCACTCATCGCGATCTTTCTCTCTCTATTTTCTCCCTTCCACTCTCTCTGAAAATCAGTGGAGAAAATATCATCCGGTGAGGACTAACAGTAAAAACAAAAATAAAACAGAAACATTAAAATTTTAGAAATTTTCTTTTGACACAATCAGCCTTAATAATAAATTTGATTTAACAACAATCACTGTAACATATCAGCTTTGAACGTTTCTGTGCTGGCTGCCAGTCCTTGCATATACTGGGTGGGCAAAAGTAGGTTTACAGTTGCACTACACATAAATAATGCAATCATTAATAAATACAAGAATAAACTCTGTTTCACATACTGACAGCTGTAAACCTACTTTTGCCCACCCCTGTAAGTAATTATAACTTTTTTTTTAATATATTTTATTGATTTTTTTACAGAGAGGAAGGGAGAGAGATAGAGAGTTAGAAACATCGATGAGAGAGAAACATCGATCAGCTGCCTCCTGCACATCCCCCACTGGAGAAGTGCCCGCAATCCAGGCATATGCCCTTGACCGGAATCGAACCCGGGACTCTTCAGTCCGCAGGCCGACGCTCTATCCACTGAGCCAAACCGGTTTCGGCAGTAATTATAACTTTAAAAAATTTCTATTTTTGTGATTATGAAAGTAATATATGCTTGTTATAAACAAAATCACAAGCCTGCAACCCAGATCTGTGCCCTGTCTGGAAATATGCCCTGATCAGGAATCAGATGGTGACCTCCTGGTTCATAGGTCAATGCTCAACCACCGAGCCACACTAGGCTGGGCAGTCTTAACCACTTTAAATGCTTAGTAAATCTTTTTAGTTTTTCCATAAAGACTTTTGTTTGGATTGTTTTTTAAAAAATGTTTGTTTTGATCTCTTCAGGGCAAAATGGCTGCCCAGGTCCCAGGCTCAGGCATGACTCAGCACCACACTCGCTGCCACTTCTCCTGGATCCTCCTCTCCCCCCAGATTCCACAATTCCGCACCTTCTCCCACGCTCCAGCCTTGGGGAAATTTGCCTAAATATTCTCTCTTTTTAAAAAAAATATATTTTATTGATTTTTTACAGAGAGGAAGGGAGAGAGATAGAGAGTTAGAAACATCGATGAGAGAGAAACATCAATCAGCTGCCTCCTGCACATCCCCCACTGGGGATGTGCCCGCAACCCGGGTACATGCCCTTGACCGGAATCGAACCCGGGACCCTTCAGTCCGCAGGCCGACGCTCTATCCACCGAGCCAAACCGGTTTTGGCTGCCTAAATATTCTCGTAACTCCCTGATGGTCCAAACAATAAAGACAAACCTAACAGGCCCGGACATACATGTGCTTTTCTTTGATGTGGAAGCGCTGATTATTCAACTCCTGACTGAAGAAGCCTCTAGGCCGAACACCGCGCTTATTTCCCCTGAGAATTTGCAGAAAGCATCTGACAGGGCAGACAAAGGGGCTCTTTTCTAACTGGAAAACGAGCAGTGGTTCTCTTCCAACAAGTGAAAGAAACCATCAAAGAGAACATAAAGGAGCACCTCCTTGGCAAGGAAGGGAGGAAGAGGAGACCATGAGGCAGAGAAGGGAGGAGAGTGATCCTGAATATCGGGCCAGCAAATCAAAGCCACTGACCTGTGCTCGGGGCAGGGGCCTGGCAGAGAAGAATTACTGAGTGGGCTGAGGAGCAGGGACCATGGCAGAGAAAAATTGCTAATTATCTCGCTAGAAAAGCAATGTGTTATGATTAAACCCAGCCAGAAAAAAACCCTGCTGGTAAATTTTACGTGAACTTTTTACCCTGCCAGTACCAGGAACGGCTAATGAACTGCTTTGCAGTTTGTTTTCTCTTTTTTTTAGAAATACTTTGTAGTGTTGCAGATAAAAGGCTTTGCTGTACCCTCGGTCGGGGCTGCAGTACGAGGCTCCTTACAGGAAGGACGTGCTGTAGTCAGCTGGCCAGCTTAATAAGGGCTCTTAAATTTAAATTCTGAATAGGTGGTCTATCTCGCTGATTGAACCCACAACAGACCCTGTTAGAATATAATTTGACTATGGACACTGCAAAGTTGTTCATGTCCTGCCTTCATGCCTGGGGCTTAAACCAAGTTCTGGACGAAGTTTGTCTCCATCGTCTTGGAATGCTGAAGCCCCACTGTCCAGTGTCGTTCGGCCTCTTATCGAGAGGAGGTCATATGTCACTGATGCTTCCTGGTTATAATCGGGCTGCCTGTGCACTGTCACACAGGAAAGCGGAAGAAGAAAGGAAGCTTCCAGCAATGGAGGGAGTAGGTAAGGGCACGTACAGAGTGTCTCGAGCCGTCACCACACAGCATCTCCTGTCGGTCATCTCTTTGGCAAATACCTTGATGAGTATGACCAGTGCAACTTTTATACCTTGATGAGTATGACCAGTGCAACTTTTATTGGTGATCATATGAAGAAGGCCCCTACCAGGCCACCTAGACCAAGCACCCCAGACCTTTCTAATGCCAGGGGTTCCCCTCCAACTTCCAGAAATATTGTGCAAGGACAAATTAAACAAGGCTGGAGTCAGCTAGCTGCGATGAATTGTGTGATGCTGCCAGATCTGCTGGGACTGGACAAGTTTCGGCCTCCACTTCTAGAGATGCTCGCTCAGAGATGGCAAGATGGACGCTTGGAGGTCAGAGAAGCCGCGCAGGCCCTGCTTCTGGCCGAGCTGCGAAGGGTTGAGCAGGCGGGCTGGAAGGAAGCCATCAATGCCTGGGCTCCGTATGCACCTCAGTACACAGACCATGTCATGTCACCTGGGGTCTCAGCGGAAGCCATGCAGACCATCACCACTGCTCCTGACACCGCCTCGGGGCCTGAAGCCAAAGCCCAGGAGGAAGAGCATGACCTTGCAGAAGATGACATCACAACTGGAGTCATAGGAGCTGAATTTGGTGCTGAAATTGAACCTCCTACACTGTTGAACAGACCTCGAAGCTCTAGTCAGATTCCTGAGGGATTTGGTTTGACTACTGGTGGATCCAACTACTCACTGGCCAGACATACTTGCAAGGCACTGACGTTTCTTCTGCTCCAGCCCCCGAGCCCCAAGCTTCCTCCTCACAGTACCAGCCGGAGAACAGCCATCGATCTGATTGGACGCGGGTTCACGGTGTGGGAGCCTTACATGGATGTGTCTGCCGTCCTCATGGGGCTGCTGGAACTCTGCAGCTCGCCAGCATCACAATGGGGCTGCCTCTGAGCCCAGCAGCTGACTCCGCCAGCTCAGCCAGGCGTGCCCTCTCCCTCATTGCCACTGCCAGACCACCCGCCTTCCTCACCACCATAGCCAAAGAGGTCCACAGACACACTGCTCTGGCCGCGAACACCCAGTGCAGCAGAATATACACACGACTGCTCTCGCACGAGCTAAAAGGGAAATTCTGAGAATCATTGAAATTCTCATTGAAAAGATGCCCACAGATGTTGTGGATCTTCTTGTGGAGGTTATGGACATCATTATGTACTGCCTCAAAGGATCTCTAGTTAAAAAGAAAGGTCTTCAGGAGTGTTTCCCAGCTATCTGCAGGTTCTACATGGTCAGCTATTATGAGCGGAGTCACAGGATAGCCGTGGGAGCTCGCAATGGTTCGGTGGCCCTGTACGGCATCGGACTGGAAAATGTCAGACAGTCCACGGACACAAGGGCCCGATCACTGCAGTGGCCTTCGCTCCTGATGGGCGCTATCTTGCTACCTACTCGAACACCTTCTGGCAGATGAACACCTCGCTGCTGGGAAGCATCGGCATGCTGAACTCGGCACCCCAGCTGCGCTGTATTAAAACCTACCAGGTGCCCCCTGTGCAGCTGGCCTCCCCCGGCCCCCACCACGCCCTCCGACTAGCCCGGCTCATCTGGACGTCCAACCGCAACATCATCCTGATGGCCCACGACGGGAAGGAGCACTGCTTCATTGTCTGAGGCTGGCGCTGCCCATGCCTGCTCTCGCGCGCAGTTCTCTAAGCCCAGATCCCTCTGTCCTTATGCTGGGTCCCTCCTCAGTGCTGCCCACCCAGGGGCATCGGGGGCGCGGCCTGGTCTGTGTCACCTCTGCATGGTCTGGGACATTCACCTGCTCGGGCACCTATTGATTTGGAGGCATGCACACACCGCTCTACAGGATGTGGCCTTCCGTCACAGCTCAAGTCTCCCTGCTGGAGAGGGAGGGAGGTGGTCCCTGGCACACTCCTGGGCTGGCTGCACCGGAAGCCTGAAAGTCAGCGATCACTGCCGCCCAGCCCACATCAGCAATCCCTCCAGAGGCACCCCCTTTCTGAAGTGCTGGCACCTTCTGGCACTGGGTTTTGAGGTAATGTGGCAGTCCTAATTGTTAAAATTATTTTCCTTTGGATTTCCTAAAACACATTATTGTTTACCACTAAATAAATAAATAAATAAATAAATAAATAAATAAATAAATAATGTTTGGGGTTTTTTAGCCTGGCTGGTGTGACTCAGTGGTTGACCATCAACCTATGAACCAGGAGGTCATAGTTTGATTCCCAGTCAGAGCACATGCCGGGGTCTCAGGCTTCATCCCCAGTGTGGAGGCAGCTGATCAATGATTCTCATCACTGATGTTTTGATCTCTCACTCTCCCTCTCCCTTCCTCTCTGAAATCAATAAAAATATATATTAAAAAATATAAAAAATGTTTTTAATGGCTCATTTTTCTGTCATTTAAAAAAATGTATTTTATTGATTTTACAGAGAGGAAGCTGAGAGGGATAGAGAGTTAGAAACATTGATGAGAAACATTAATCAGCTGCCTCCTGCACACCCTCTACTGGGGATTGAGCCAGCAACCAATACATACTCTTTACCAGAATCGAACCCAGGACCCTTCAGTCCACGGGCCCACGTTCTATCCACTGAGCCAAAGTGGTTAGGGCTGGTCATTTCTGAATTAAAATTCTTAAACCACTGGCTTTAAATAAAGAAAGGGCTTGGCTTTTATTTTGGCTGTCATACTTATTTATATGTACATCTTATGCATGTACTTTCTCCTTCTTTTGCAAAATAGTTCCAACCTCACCCACATGCATGATTGGTGTGAGAATCCCAAGAATGTACTGGAAAAATACTTTGTAAAATCTGAAGTCATATGTATAAAGTCCTATTAATACAAACCCCTTCAGCTTTTCTTCTAGAAGTTTCAGTTCTTCAACTCTAGCTTTTTGTCTCTTCTTCCAGCCGTTTGACCAACTTTTCAGATTTTTCCTCCTTTTGCTGTAATTTATCTAGCTCATCTAGAGCTTGCTTTAATTCTTCCTCAAATAGATTCTTCTCTTTCATCATGGCCTCCTGAAAAGAACAGAGCTTCTGCTGAAGACTAGAAGATAATTCCTTCTCTTGTTGCAAAAGTGAATCCATTTGCAACTCTTTTTGTTGTAGCTTTTCATGTTCTTGTTTTCCAAGAATAAACTTCTCTTTTAAGTTTTGCATTTTAGAACTCAGATGTTCATCCAGTTCTCTGTCCCCGGTGATGAGGTCTTCTTTTACTTTTTCAAGCAGCTGACATTCAGCATTCAGGTCTTTTACTCGTTCAGACAGGTAACAATATTTTCTTCAAGAGCCTCCTTAAGGCTTAAAACTTCATAATTCTTCTCTTTCAAATTTTCTTCTAACTGGACAATGTCTAGCTTGCATTTTTTCTCTTGATCTGAGGCACAACTTATTTCTTCAATGTATTCCGAGAGTTTTTCTGTTTCAGACTTTTCATCAATCTTTTCTTTCTGTATTGAAACAAGTTTCCCTTTGAGTTGTGCTACTTTCCCTTGAGACTCTTCCAGATTCTTCTGGTAACCTGCAGTTTCACCTCCATGCCTTGTTATTTAGCCATCATACGCCTCATCTTAGTTTCTCTTTTGTTTCCAAGCTTCATCAGCTCAAGGCTTAGAATTCTCAGGTTCTTCTGGTTACTATCTTCAGAAAACCAGGACTGGAGTAGCTCGTTAGTCCTGGTTAATTCAGTAAGCTGCTTTTCCAGTGCAGCGCTGCTTGCAGAGAGAGACGTTATTCCCCTGACCGTAGCGCTGAGCTCTGCTTCCATCTTCTCCAGCTCAGCTTCCAGATTCTGCGGACGCTTGTCCTGAGTACTGCATTCCTGCATGAGGACACAAATCTCTTTTTCCAACATCTTCAGGTCTTTATCATTCTTTTGAGATTCCGTCTTTAATCCCAAAGTCTTAACCCTTCTTGCTGAAGCAGGCAAGGTAGTATCTTTGTCAACAGTAAGATTTTGTTGAGATTCTTTTTGTTTTTTACATCTTTGTGATTTCTGAAAGGATACTGGTCCTTTCAATACTTCTGAAGTTTTCACGTCATAAGCACCTGGAGATGGTGCACAACCAGAAGGGTCATTGAATCGTTTCAGGGGCGCCTTAGGAAAGCACATGATGACCACTAGCTCCACAAACAGAAGGGAACTAGTGTTCCTTGACTAATGGTTGATTTTTAATGTTTCTTCCCCTCTTATTACAAATATTTTGCATTTTTAAAACAATGTACATAATTATAAGGAGGAAAATAAGATCAGCCATAATGCCCTCATCTAGAGATAACCACTATGAACATTTTGGTGCATTTTCTTCTATAAAATGTAAGTTTTTGTTCATATTTCTAATTATTTTCCTGGGATAGGTTCCTACAAGATAAATTAGTAGGGGGGGAAAGGGCTTAAATGTTTTAAGACTCTTGAGATGTTTTGCCAGAATTCCTGAGTATAAAATTTCATTGGAAATGTCATAATATTCGATTCTCACAGCCAGTTGGCCTGGAGGTCAAATCCCCCCCCCCAGTATTACCTACAACAATCAAGGCTTAACTACAACAAGACTGAGCACAAAGACCACAAGGGGGTGCACCAAGAAAGCATAAAAAATGCGGAGGCAAAGAAACAGGACACAACTGACAGAAATGGAGGACATAGAGTTCAAAACCACACTTTTAACGTCTCTCAAGAACTGTCTAGAAGCTGCCGATAAACTTAGTGAGGCCCTTGAAAAGACTGGTGAGACCGCCGATAAATATAGTGAGATCCTCAAGAACTCTAATGAGACCCTAGATGTTGTGATAAAGAACCAACTAGAAATTAAGCATACACTGACTGAAATAAAGAATATTATACAGACTCCCAACAACAGACCAAAGGAGCGCAAGAATCAAGTCAATGATTTGAAATGCGAAGAAGCAAAAAACACCCAACCAGAAAAACAAAATGAAAAAAGAATCCGAAAATACAAAGATAGTGTAAGGAGCCTCTGGGACAGCTTCAAGCGTACCAACATCCGAATTATAGGGGTGCCAGAATATGAGAGAGAGCAAGATATTGAAAACCTACTTGAAGAAATAATGACAGAAAACTTCCCCTACCTGGTGAAAGAAATAGACTTACAAGTCCAGGAAGTGCAGAGAACCCCAAACAAAAGGAATCCAAAGAGGACCACGCCAAGACACATCATCATTAAAATGCCAAGAGCAAAAGACAAAGAGAGAATCTTAAAAGCAGCAAGAGAAAGAAAGCCAGTTACCTACAAGGGAATACCCATACGACTGTCAGCTGATTTCTCAACAGAAACTTTGCAAGCCAGAGGGAGTGGCAAGAAATATTCAAAGTGATCAATACCAAGAACCTACAACCAAGATTACTTTATCCAGCAAAGCTATCATTCAGAATTGAAGGTCAGATAAAGAGCTTCACAGATAAGGAAAAGCTAAAGGAGTTCATCACCACCAAACCAGGATTATATGAAATGCTGAAAGGTATCCTTTAAGAAGAGGAAGAGGAAGAAAAAGGTAAAGATACAAATTATGAACAACAAATACGCATCTATCAACAAGTGAATCTAAGAATCAAGTGAATAAATAATCTGAAGAACAGAATGAACTGGTGATTATAATAGAATCAGGGACATAGAAAGGGAATGGACTGACTATTCTTGGGGGGGAAAGGGGTGTGGGAGATGCGGGAAGAGACTGGACAAAAATTGTGCACCTATGGATGAGGACAGTGGGTAGGGAGTGAGGGCGGAGGGTGGGGTGGGAACTGGGAGGAGGGGAGTTATGGGGGGGTGGGGGGAAGAGGAACAAATGTAATAATCTGAACAATAAAGATTTAATTTAAAAAAAAAGAAATGTCATAATATTCTATTTGACTGTGGAGTTAACTATTTCTTAGTGTTGGACAGATGATTATAGCTGCCTCAGAGGGTTGCGGAGGGAATTAAATGGCAGAGCATATTAGGGAACCCAGCCCTGAGCCTGACTCGGAGGGGAACTCCATTACTTTGTATGCCTACCTTCTCCTTCAAACACATCAAGTGATGGCATTCTTGTCCCCCATAAAGCTCAACCCTAAACTGCCTCCCCGCCCCATCTCGGGGTCACTCCAGTTTACCCCCTAAGGCCTATACCTTTCAAAAGTGTCAACCCTCCTGAACCTGGACTATACAAGACTCTTGTTCTCCCTAATGTGATATGCTAAGATGACAACCCTCCATCAAAGTCACTGACACACTGGGTGTCAGCAGATCCAAAGGTAGGAGGAATTCTGAGATGTTCTTTCCTCCTGAGGCACTTTAGGGCTGAGTTTTCTGGGGGCCAGGAAGGCTGTCTTTAGGAAGGTCTGGTTGTGGAAAAGGAACACAGCTAAAGCTTGAACAGGTAGAATGTGGACTCCAGCCCAGAATGAGTGTGTACATTTGACCTTAACCCCTCAAGGTGTAGCTCACAATCTCCTTCTCCGGAGACCTTTTCTGAACTCATTGGGCCCTCACAGCTCTCCCATTCATCTTGGTATTTATTCAGTCACTTACTGTGTAATTTAATTTATTCATCAAATACTCTGGGAGAATCTGCTCTGTGCCCAGCACTGTGCTAGGCAGTGGGTTAATGACATTGATCAGCAAAGGCATACGTCCTACCTTCTAGGCCCTAGAATCCAGGGGCTCAGCATAACAGGAAAGAGGAACATTGAGTCAGCACTGTGCTGGCAAGTGTGATGAGG